CTCCTCTTTCGATCCCCCATCCTCACCCCCTCGGGGGTGGGGGCCATCATCTAGACCTTTACCAAATTATTTAAAAAGGGGATTTATTTTACTAAAAAAACTTAGTTGATTGAAATGTAGAAAAAATATATTTTAAATAATAAAAAATGAACACAAATACACGAGTTAACATTCACTTGAAAAAAAAAATCAGGAAAAATAATTAATAGAAAAAAAAGTAATTAGTCAATATTTTTTTTTTCCTGATGTAAAGTGAAACAACATTATTCCTTTAACCGTTAAATTTCGGAGATGTATACCTATTCATTAAAAATAATAAGGTACAAAACAACACCTTTTCCCCAAGTTTAGGGTTAACAATTGTTTAAAAATAATAAGTACGTGCATTCATGTACGCGTGGTAGAAGTTATACTTCCATCTTCCTTTTACACGCTTACACAACAACGGCCTAACGTTGGATTTGAAAGTCCAAAGTTGATGTTATTTCCGGTGAAACAAGAAGTAGAAAATACTTTTATACTAAATACTAGTAATCCAAATTTTAGCAATACAAAATCAAGGACCACGATATACCCTTTTTAATTGTACAAATGTTAATTATTTAGACTGCTGACTGTCCGCGTGTTACTTGTTGTAACATTCACCGAAGTGGAGTGTAAGATGCAGGGGCGGCCTTTGGGGGTGGCGGACAGGGCAACCGCCCGGGGCCTCGCCTTTGAAGGGGCCTCGCGCACTCGCGCAACAATCTAATTAGAAAAATATTAGGTAGTAATAGTACATACTACTAATGTTTATTTGAATTTCTTAATAGTCTTAAAAGAAGCAAATTTGCTATCATTGTCTTTATCATTTCTTTTTAATTTTCGATAAACAATTTTAAAACTGTAAACTTATTTATGAATCGCTTTGCATTTTTTAAGTATCATCATTAAAATTAATTCCACAAAAACGAGGGCCTCGCAAAAATTTACCCGCCCGGAACCTTTCCATGGCTAAGGCCGCCCCTGGTAAGATGTACAGAAAATAAAAGCACCATTAAAGGATCACTAGGGGAATCCCTGAACATGCTCTTCACTTTCAAGCATAGAGAAGTAGGGTTCCCATATTTCTTCAATCAGAATCTACTAAATTTTGCAAAAAAATTAGAAAAAGTCAATAAATACAGGATCGGACGAACGAAGCTGGCGAGCGGTTGCGCAATTTTCCGAAGAAAAAAGATTCTCTATTTATTTGTGTGTATGTTGAGCTATTTCTTCGCCGATTGTGGACCGATTTTAATGATTATACCTCTAAGGGCGGAAAATAAATGGAAGCTTCGCGTTTTTATCTTTTTGGTTTAAATTTGTACATACTTAAGTGAAGACAAATTGTTGAAGTTTGTTTTTATACGCGAGAATATTTAATTATTAAAAATTATTCTCTGTAACGATCTTGGGGTCTTCACCCCACACATACACACCTGAAACTGTCTATAAATTACGAAGCCCTAATTGGGGGCGATACGGTTCTCTACTTTTGTTATGTGATTATCGAATTTATTCAAAATTAAATTATTATTGGAAATTATAAAACCTTTTGTTAATTGAAGTCTAATAAAAATTTATAATACCTTCACGTGTCACCCCTTTCTCACCCCCAATCACCACCCACTTATTCCCACGACTCCTGAAAGGAGGCTGATGAAGACTTTCCGCCTTAGCCGGGACTTCCCGCATTACAGGTGTTGGGAATAGAAATAAACACCCAAATGTTCAAAAGGCAATACGAATGCAATGAGTGTTGTCGTCGTCATGGTCATGCCATTTTTTTTTTTTGGAGATGTCAAGTTGGGCACTTTTCGGTGCCCAAATGACCTAAGTATTTGTTATTATTGCTGTATGCTTGTACATATCTACTTGATCGCAGTAGGGGGTGGCAAATCTTCCCGATCTTTGTTTGATGCTCAACTAGAGGATATTTTC